CCCCCCCCCCCCGAGTCCACCCCTTCCGCCCCTTGATTTTTCGTCTAAAAATTGTTTGTCGTAAGACAATTTTAAACTCGCGATCACCAATTAAATGGCAGGTTAAATGATTGAACTATTCGATATTCATTGGAAAACCTTAATTAGTTGACACGTCAGTCTCGTTAATTGGAATTCTTTGGAAAATCGTTATCTGACCACTTATTGCATAGAAACGTTCTAGAATTTTACTTTCGACTTGTGTATTTTATTGAAGTCGTTTAAAATTTATATACGTATATATTTATAGGTATCGATAGACACTTTATAGTTTGTTTAATCAAAATCATTTCCCAATCGGTACGATATCGACCCACGCATTTATATGTATGTTGGTTATATGGTAACACATATGCAATAGCCTTTAGGAACATTTGAACTTTATCTTGTTGATCCATCTAGCATATATAAGCAGTAAATAAATATCAGGACTGAGAATTTGTATTATACGCGACGGCGATGACGCGTGTCACGGAGAGAAGGCAGAATTAGGAATGTCCAGCAATTGAAACGCTCGTGCAATTAAAAGGAACGTAAACTCGTGGGCTGTGAATTCGGGTCGAGAAGGCTGTTACCCACCCACGCAAATCTCTGAGTCTTCGTGTAATGTGCGAGCTGGAATAGAATTTTTTTTTAACGATCTGTTAGACGGCAATTTTTTGTAAAAAGATTTTCAATTTCTCAATTTTTTCTTTTTCAGGCAAATCCATGCCAGCATCCAATTGTCATACTGAGGGATGTTGCGTCCTCGGATATGGAGTCCCTCTTGCGCTTTATGTATCACGGGGAGGTGCACGTGGGTCAGGAACAACTGGCTGCCTTCCTGAAGACGGCGCAGATGCTCCAGGTCAGAGGTCTCGCCGACGTGAACAGCGGAGCGGCAGCATCGAAAATTCCACCGGCGCCAACGTCGAGCGCGAACAACGGTAGCGCACCCGTGAGTAATACGTGAAGTGTGAATATTTATTTTGAAATTCAAAAAAAAAAAAAACTTTTTTGACTAAAACTTTTTTTCCTTCGGATACCTTCCAGACCACCCCAAGAAATTCTTGGCAGGATAACGGTAGGGGTGACTTGAACGAGAGTGGACTGAGTCCACCTCCTGAGAAGAGACCCAGGAGTTACTCACCGCCCTTGGGCAACCACGTGGAGCAGAAACCCGATCTTCAGGATTCGCTTCTCGGTCAGGCCCTCGAAGGTGGTCCCACGATACACACGACACCCACCAATAATATACAGGTAAGAATTTTTTATTGCAATTTTTTCCTTTTCAAATTTACCCCTAACGAGAGGTACAGTTTATTAATTCTTCATATGGGCGTTCACGTGTATTAAGGACCAGGACATTCTCATTGATTGTTACGCAGGCGCAGTCCACTGGCGAGGACTCGAATTCCCTGTCGGACAACGAGGAGGATATGTCGAATAACGAAAGTATCCTGAACTCTGTAAAGACTGAGCCGAGTGATCTTCTGAACGACTCCATGGAGCATCATCGTAGCACCTTTCCTGCGGCCCTCTTGGGTCTCCAAGGTGAGTCACGATACGATTGGCAGATCATGGGAAAACGGGTGGGGATAACGATAATTGGGTGATAGAG